ATAGTATAAGGCTGCATCACATGATTGCTATAAGAACCAAATAAAAAATGTGTGTGAGTATGTTCTTCAAACCATAAGCAACAATGGCGTATCAGTCATTACAACTGCAGAGGAGAGAAGTGTTGACAGTTTTGCAGACTGGGTAACAGAAAGAAAGCAAGATTTTTAAAAACCTTGACAAAAAAAAAAACCTCACACAAGAGCAAGAGCTAGACCCTCCATCTCTTCAGTTCCTTTACTCTGATATTCCCATATTTGAATTACCTAGAACACCTTTAAAAATACAGATTTTGGGGATTCCCTTACTCCTATTGAATCAGAACCTGGAGTATAGGGATCAGGAATCTCAGTGTTAAGGAAAGCTGCCCCATTGATTCTTTTTTATTATTATTAATTTTTATTGGAGTATGGTTACTTTACAATGTTGTGTTAGCTTCCACTGCACAACAAAATGAATCAGCCATCCACATACAGATAATCCCTTCCCTTTGAGACTTCCCTCCCATTTAGGTTACCACAGTGCATTAAATAGAGTTCCCTGTGCTATGTAGTATGTTCCCATCACTGGTCTATTTTATACATAGTATCAATAATGTATATGTGTCAATGGAATATTACTGAGCCATAAAAAGAAATGAAATTGAGTTATTTGTAGTGAGGTGGATGGACCTACAGTCTGTCATACAGAGTGAAGTCAGTCAGAAAGAGAAAAACAAATGCCGTATGCTAACACATATATATATATAGAATTTTCAAAAAAAGGGTTCTGAAGAACCTAGGGGCAGGACAGGAATAAAGACGCAGACATAGAGAATGGGCTTGAAGACATGGGGAGAGGGAAGGGTAAGCTGGGACGAAGTGAGAGAGTGGCATGGACTTATACATACTACCAAATGTAAAATAGATAGCTAGTGAGAAGCAGCCGCATAGCACAGGGAGATCAGCTCGGTGCTTTGTGACCACCTAGAGGGGTGGAATAGGGAGGGTGGGAGGGAGGGACATGCAAGAGGGAAGAGATATGGGAACATATGTATATGTATAACTGATTCACGTGCTATAAAGCAGCAACTAACACACCATTGTAAAGCAATTATACTCCAATAAAGATGTTTTTAAAAAATGCAAAAGAAAAAAAATTTTGAATGGCTACACAAATAAATAAAGAAAGAAATAATGTACATGCGTCAATCCTAGTCTCCCAGTTCTTCACACCCCACCCCTTTCCGCCTTGGTATCCATACGTTTGCTGCCTACATCTGTGTCTCTATTTCTGCTTTGCAAATAAGATCACCTATACCATTTTCTAGATTCCACATATATGCGTTATTATACGATATTTGCTTTTCTCTTTCTGACTTACTTCACTCTGTATGAAACTCTCTAGGTCCATCCACGTCTCTACAAATGACCCAATTTCATTCCTTTTTATGGCTGTGAGCCAGCAATCCCACTACTGGACATATACCCAGAGAAAACCATAATTTAAAAAACACATGCACCCCAATCTTCATAGCAGCACTATTTACAGTAGCCAAGTCATGGAAGCAACCTAAATGTCCATCAACAGATGAATGGATAAAGAAGATGTGGTACATATATACAGTGGAATATTACTGTTGCCCCATGATTCTGATGCAACCAGCAGCACCAGTCAATGGCTGGTCCTTTGGAAACAACTGCCTTGACCTTGACACCTTTCAATGAGAAACACCAGCCGTCCTAGGCTCTATTGCTCAGGTTAAACCTGTCTTCAGTCTCCAGAAAAGCATGCATCTCCCATACTGACTGGGAATGCAGAACGTTTTGAAACATCTGCGAGTGTTACGAGAATTTCCCCATCACCATTCTCCTCCTAGTCCTGAGCATCCATACTCAAGTGTCTCAATGGCTCTGAGATTATCCTTGGAATTATCTATCTTGGTAATGCAAATGTTTGTTACTTAACTTCTTTCCAAGCCAATCCTCTCCCTCACAAAACAAAGTCATTCAGTGTTGCCTTGGATGGTCCACCTGAGGTGTGGTGTGATGTCTATGTGGGATGAGCATTTGAAAATCAAGAAGTGAGAAGAAAATCAGCAGGATTGATACACATCAGCCATTTGTGCCCTTTGGGGTGGTTAAAGCAGAGAAACAAAGACTAGAGTTTCCATCTTCTGTCTCTTATCATGTAAACCTGGCTAGGACTCTGTTCTTCTAGACCTGAGGAAAGAACCTTTTCTGTTTCTTGAGAATCCACCTATAAGTTACTTCTTGGGGATTATTTCAAAATCTTCTACTAAAAGGCACCACATGAATATAATTAAATCTCTTATCATATGGCTTATGATGCTATGAATTTGGACCAAGTGTTGCAAAAATGCCTCTAGAAGTCAGGTGGGGGAATTCATTGAGGGTGAAGAGCTTGGAGAATGGAGAATGAATGCCCATCTGAATGGGGCAGCCCCCAATGGTTGCCATGTATGAATGTAGCCCCAGGTTGCCAGATAATCTGATTTTTTTCCAAAGGGAGGGCGATAGAAATAGCGTCTCTTTTCTGTTGGCAAATTAAGAGAAAACTACATTTAAGTAGGATGAATAAAACACCTCTAGGTCAGTATGAACTGCAGACTACCAGTTTGTGACCTCTGATTTTTACTATTACTCAAAAGCATAATCTCTTAATAAACTGAAAAAACTATGCCAATACAGTAAATCCTTGTACCCACACAGTTAACCAATAACATATGCAATCCTTCCCCACCAGAGTGAACATTTTAAAGGATATAAAACTCAGCTCAAATAGAAGCTGAGTCTTCACTGGAAGAGTCAAATAACCATTGGTCTGTACAGTAGCTTGTTGTCAACTGCTAATCAGCAATGGGCTGGGGTTTAGTTTTTCTGTCTCTTGCACAGGGACATAAAAGGACCATATTCTCCTCCTCACAACCTGGATCATTCATCCCGCCAGGAATAGCAGATAGTGTTCCTTACAGGGTAACCCTCTCTCACACAGGGCCCTGCATAGGAAGGGACAGGGACATGGACCAAGCCCTGAACTCAAGAGTGTATCCAATTGTCTTTGCTGGATAACGTGTACACACATGATATGGTCAAAAATGGTTTCCCTCATTTTACTGAGAAAATTTCCTTGTACTCTAATGAAAGTGGGGAGATGTTTTTCACAGTTTGTGCTAATGAATGACTCTTGGGAAGTACCCAATAAACTGTCGACTGAAAAAAATTGCACAGCCTGAAAGTTGAGAATTATGTTTTATTCAGAGGACATTCTGAGCACTTCAAGCCTGGGAGACAGCATCTCAAATAACCCTGAGAGACTGCTCCCAAGAAGCAAGGTGGGGAGCCAGGATATATAGGAGTTTTTGCAACAAAGACCAGGTAGTGGGAACATCAAAAGATTATTCTTAATTAAAGAAAACCATATATCTCAAGTTAATGAAATTTAGTGCTTTTCTATGTATGGGAAGATGCAAGAGTCTGGGCTCACTGAAATCATTCCTTTGATATGCACCTAAGCTACCTGGGGCCAGTATCCTGCTTCTCTCCATCCTGAGTCCCCTCAGGGTGCCCCGTCGGGGTGGCTGCAGTGGCTGAGGGCTTGACAGCCGGTAGCCCATTTGTCTCCATCCTGACTTCCCTCAGAGCTCACCATCAGGGTGGCTATAATGTGATGGCTTGGTGGCTGCAGCATCCTTTGTTTACTGATATGGCAGGCAATATTTTTCATTCACAAAATGATGTATCTATTTGAAAGCTGACAGTTCATGTAGGCTCCAATTGACCTATAAAATATGAGTGATGGATATCTCCCATTGAGAGATACTGTAGGATCTTGGGTTATCTGTAACTTGGTCCTCTAAGGCTTCACAGAATATAAATGGTGTTGAGTATTCTTACTTGGGACAGACGTGGAAGAGAAGAACTTTAGTGGTGGGGGTACGAGCAGAAAGCAGATGGCATACCCAGAGTTTCACTCAAAGAGCTAAACTCTTCACACAGGGACTCTTTGCATGTGCCTGTGCAGGCGTAAGGGAGCTGACAAAGGATGGCGAGGCAGCAGCAGAAAGCCATTACCACCCCTCTGTCTGAGGGTCAGTACTGTGTCACCAGATCCTGGCGGCAGCTCCCTCTTGGATGGGAGTCCCTAGCAGACTTGTGTGTGTAGAGGGGCGGAGACACTGCCCATGTCCTTCTGATCTCCTGCCAAGTCTCCCCTCTGGTTGCCTCCACCCAGAGCCCAGAGGTCAAGGGAGCCCAGGAAAGTCAGTCCATAAAAGTCAGCCTCCAGGGGCACAGAGTGTGGCAGAAAGTGAGAGAGAAATGGAGAGTTATTACCACAGAAGGCCTGGGAAATCTTCGCTCCTGGAACATTAGAGCACAAAGGCACTTTTCATCCTCTAATCCTCTAACCCTCACTAGTTGATGAGGAAACTGAGGCCCGGGGGACTGAAATGACTGAGTCAACATGTGTAAACCCAACAAAAGGCACACTTGAGACCACAGGCAGTTATCTTCATATCCCTTCTCATGCCTTTCCCCTTCAATATGCTGGGATTCATGAACTATGACACTCATACTAGAGTAGTGTTGGCTAAAATGGGGCTTCTACATGGTCATTTGCCCGGACTGTGCCCCTCAGACTTCAGGAATAGAATACAGATTTCTTTTCTCCTGAACCCAAACGTGCCCTCAGACTCTTTCTCATCCTGAGGCTCCAGGCAGCCCCTAATAATCAATCCATCTTGTTGCCCTGTTACTTAACAATACAAGGTGCTCTAAACCCTTAAATACAAAGCTCAGATTATTCTATGATTTTCCTCCTTGAAACATGGCTTATTCTCTGAAGATGCATCCTTGAAGACATCCAAACTGCTCACCCTGTTGACTTGGTGGAGGGCATTGACAGTTTGGAAGGAGACAGAGCACCGTAAGATGAATCCTCATGAAGGATAATGATACGAAGCCCTGATCCCTGATGGGTTTTCTCTTTCTCTCTTCTGCAGGTTGACAGAACAGAGGTGATTCGCACCTGCATCAACCCAGTGTATTCAAAACTGTTTACCGTGGACTTTTATTTTGAGGAGGTGCAGCGCCTGCGGTTTGAGGTCCACGACATCAGCAGCAACCACGATGAGCTGAAGGAGGCTGACTTCTTGGGTGGCATGGAGTGCACACTTGGCCAGGTGAGTCCATGGTGTCCTTCCTCCCTTTTTGCCTTCTGAGGGCCTTTCTCCCTCCTTTTGTCCTCTCTCCTCTCATTCAACCCTTGCTTTCTTTCTGCTGTTGATTTTATTTTCTTTAAACATGCAGCATTTCGTGATGCTCCATGCACTGCCATGTCCATTATATTCAACATTATACTTACATCTGGATGATGCTGCAAATATATTGTGTTACTTATCTTGCAAAGTTAATCATTTTTGCTTTCTGAATTCATTCATTCTGTCAGTCATTTATTTAACAACTATTTATGGAACATCTGCTTTGCTCCGGTTGAGTGTCTGCTATAGCCTTATCCTGATACATCATAACCTTCCGTCTCCCAACTCAACTATGGGAACAGCCACACAGGGAGTATCCCCGAGTCATGTGTATTCCAAGCCTCTGGTGCCAAAAATAGCCCAAGAGAGGGCTAAATAGGTATTTGGTGAATGAATAAATGCTTTACTTAATCCTCACAACAATCATGGGAAATAAACATCATTATTATATCCATTTGTCAGTGAGAAATGAAGACTTAGAGAGGTAAGCGACTTGCCTGAGGTCCTGCACTAATGAGGGCAGAGTTACAACCAGGTGAGCCTCACTCCACACCCCATCATCTTGCCTTTATTACACCTTTCCTTTTTCCCTTCCCTTACTGCTGTACCCAGAACTTGAGTAGGTGCTGAGGAGAAATCTAAATGAAGAAATAGTCCCTGTGCCCAAGACTAATTGGAGAAGGCACAGTATATGCCCCTCAGATAGAGCCATTCATGATGCCCTCTAAGCCATCATGAGACAACATATCCTGGGCTCTGTACATAGGGTTGTGGGCCTGCAGGGAAGGGAGAGCTTTCTGCTGGGGAGAATCAGAGAAAGCATTGTGGGGCCAAACTTTGAAAAAATATGGTCCGGGGATTGAAGGAGAAGGAGGAGGGAAGTCTTTCAGGCAAGAAAACAACAAAAAGCATAGAGGTCAGAGTAAACATGCAGGGCTAAGGGGCGGGAGGACCAGCCAGTCTTAATCATGGTCAGATGCTAATTTACTAGGAAACCAGTGCAGCTTAAAATTCAGAGCCCCTCACTTGCGTGGACCCTTCCAAAGCTCCGTGTCACGTTTTTATTTGTAGTTTTGTACTTTTTTCATGAAGAAGGATTCCAAATTATATAAACCTCACAAAACCTGAATTAATCCCATGCAGAGGTAAGGGTCTTGTTTAGGGATTAGTAAGAAAGAGTCTGCCTGGCAGAGAGATGGCAAGCATGCATGTTTGTTTGCTATTTTCACCCTGCCTCATACCACTTGTCACTAAAGGAAATTCCTCCCACGTGAGCACTGACAAAATAGACAAGCCCTCAGGTACCCTTTTCCGGCAAATATAGTGATTGATTTCATAAGATTGTTCCTTGCTCCTTCAGTAAAAGCCAAAAGCCTGATGCGGAAGTAGAGCTGAGGGGAGGCAGACAGAAAACCTGGGATGTTCTTCCTCACATATTATACGATGGTTATTGTATGTCTCTCTCATGGCTTTTGGAAAGAGTCGAGAGCAGATAGTTCTAGAGTCTTGCCAGGTACAGTGTCCTATAAGTAGGCATTGAATGAATGAATGAATGAAAGAATAGTGGATTTGAGATGGAATTCAGCAATGTATAAATAAAATTAATAGGTGACTAAAATGGCAGTTTTATAGATATAAAGGAACCATTCTAAGATTCTCCCTTAGACAATGGGCATCCCTTCTATGTATAAAAGTTATATTCTGTCCCAAGAAATAAATGTAGATCCATTAAGAGTCATGTAAATAAAATATCTTTTATCTAAAGCTTTCATAATTTTTTCTCTGTGAATGACTCTCAAACTTACATCTTTCATAAGGTTCATCTTGCCATATCCAGCCAGTCCTTGACCCTCTACTTTGTGCCAGGCAGTGTGCCAGGAGCCAACGATAGAGTGGGAGGCCAGAAGCATTGTCTTTGCCCTCAAGCAGCTCACAATCTAGTTGGGGATAAAGATGTAAAAAAAATAATTAAACAAAACTAATTAAATCACAACCATTCTTAAGGAGAAATACAGAAGAGGAGAGCAAACAATGAGAGGATGGCCTCAGGTGGACAAGGGCTCAAACAAGGCTTCCAGAGGGAAGTGACATTTTCACTGTAACTGGAAGGGAGCGTGAGCATGAGCAGGGAGAGGAAACACATTCTGAGCAGATGGGAACGCTGTGTACAGAGTCTCTGGATTCAGGAAGGAATTTGGCATATGGTATCTTCATTTGGACTTCCCAAGAAGCCGACTCTGAGATAGGAAGTCAAAGGAGGTGTAGGAAGCACCACGGTGGAGTGGAGAAGTGAGGCAGGAAGAGGAGGGCAGCCTGAGAGGGTGTGTTGTCCAGCCAGCTACTGGACATGGGTAGCTGGAATGTAACTGGGCTACGACATTCTGGAGGCCAGTGCAGAGCAAACACCACAGAGTGATCCCACCCTCGGGATGAGGGAACTGGAGCTTTTATACATGTGGGAGTGTATATACTCTCAACAGTCATTGAGGGCTGTTCCCAGCATGGAAATAGTAATCCCCTAGTATTTTTGGCTTATTGCATGGGTGGGAAAGACCAGAAGAAGTTTTCAAGCAAAGAAACACAAGTGCTAGTGGTCAGAAGTCAGTGCTGTGCACTCAGGTCATAGGGCCTGTGGATAAGAGCAGGTCACTGAGAGCATCTGCTATATAGACTCTGGTTGTCCCCCACCCAGTAGCCAATCTCCTCCCTCTCCTCATTCTTTCAGCTGTCAGACCCTGATAATTTTCAGACCATTTTCCACCATTCAGCCATGTAGAAAATAGCTCTATCCTTAGCTCAAAAAGTGAATCCTGAGGAATCTCCACCAGTCATATGAATCCCATCCCCCTCTGCCAGACATTGGTTTAGGGGTGGGCTTGTGATCAGTTCTAACCAATAAGACATAAGAAATTTTCTTGGAAAGGTTTCCTAGCCTTAGAAAAAGAGACACACATGAAGATTCCTGGAACCACCGCAGTTGTCTTGCAGGAGACTGTGGATGAGAGCAGCCCTTGGGGATGTCAGAGCCAAGAGATATGGCAGGACAGTCCTGATACCCCATACCTGGAGCCCACCTACCTGTGGACTCCTCGTTAGGAGGGAGTAAGGTGTCCTGCCGTCAAAGCCCTTTGGGGTGAGGTTTCCCATTACTCAAGTATAAAGCATCAGGGTTGATATGGAGTAATGAGGAACTGAGAGATGGCCAGATGGCCTGGAGTGGAGGGAACAGAGAAACTGAGGGGTGCATTGGCATTATCGTCTTAATCTCTCAAGATGAGGAATATGTAGATGTGAGCACTGAGGGTGAATTACCAATAGTCCTCCTTAGTATATTTTGATGCTTTTGAAAGGATTTTCAAACTGATCATTTCACCTGGCTTTTTTTTTAATTTATTTTTTTGAAGTACAGTTGATTTATAATGTTGTGTTAATTTCTGCTGTACAGCAAAGTGACTCAGTTATACATATATACATTTTTTTCATATTCTTTTCCATTATGGTTTATTACAGGATATTGAATATAGTTCCCTGTGATATACAGTAGGACCTTGTTGTTTATCCATCTCACATATGCTAGTTTGCATCTGTTAATTTCAAACTCCCATTTCACTTGACTTTCCTGACGACACTGGGAGGACAGGTGTCATTATCCACATTTCATAGTAAAAAAACTGAGAAACAGAAAGATTCAGTGCCTTGACAGAGCCAAGACAGAAGTCAAGAGTTCTTGATCTTTAATTCAGAGCTCTTTCTTCTGCCATTATTTAGGAAAAGATAATGTGGGGAGGCCCCCTGTTGTGAGAAATTTTTTTGACATTGTGGCTTAGGGAGGGGAAAAGACATGAGAAGCAAGTCAGCAATGCTTCCTGAGCCACACTACTTCACCCCCAGGTGACTTGCTGGCCTTACTGGGTATCCTGCATATACTTAGACAACCACCCTCTCATAGTATAGGCCATGTGACTGGTGCCATTGACCTTTCCCACACTTTGGAGAGCCACTCATTGGCTTAAATCAATCAGGATGTCTTAATTTTGTGACAACGGTGATTGATTCAAGGAAGGTATGTAACTAATCGGGTATAATGAGATGTAAATATATATTTGCTGGAGCCTTCTGGGAAAGAAAGGGTAGGGCTGTGAGGTGGAAACGGATCCTGCAAGAGAAGAATGTGGAGCTACTGGGGAAAAAGAGAGAAATTGAGTGATGTTCTTTACACTCTAGATAGAGTCTTGTCTGAAGCCAGCCTGTCCTGGGAATTTCAGCCAATAGCTTCCCTTTGGACTTCCCTGGTGGTCCAGTGGTTAAGAATCTGTCTTGCAATACAGGGGATGCCAGTTTGATCCCTGGTCAGGGAGCTAAGATCCCACATGCCTTGGGGCAACTAAGCCTGTGTGCCACAACTACTGAGCCTGCATGCCGCAACTAAGACATGACACAGCCAAAAATAAATAAATTAATTAATTTTAAAAAATAGCTTCCCTTTGCTGTTTAAACCGCTATAGGCTAATTCTTTTTTTTTTTTGCATTACGTGGGCCTCTCACTGCTGTGGCCTCTCCCGTTGTGGAGCACAGGCTCCAGACGCCCAGGCTCAGTGGCCATGGCTCACGGGACCAGCCACTCCGCGGCATGTGGGATCTTCCCAGACTGGGGCACGAACCCGTGTCCCCTGCATCGGCAGGCGGACTCTCAACCACTGTGCCACCAGGGAAGCCCTAGGCTAATTCTTTTTGCTACCTGTAATGTGAAGTCTAACTGATTGAATCATACTCCATAGAACCCCTTTCCCAGACCACAGAGACTTCTTTAAATTCCAAGCTCCTGTAACCCATCTCCATTTCATTCATGCAGCTTATTCTACATTCCCTTGAGAAGTTCCTTTTTATCAGTTCATTAAAATAAATTCTCTCTATAATTAGCA